TTATATGTTACATGTAACAGGTGTTTTTTATATACTTTATAAATACTCCAAGTCATGCATCCGTATCTTTCCTTCATGACGGTGCATGTTTCTCTCATTTGCATTTTCTATGTGTGTGTTTGCTGTTGTCTTTTTTACATGTTGAGATTGGGAGAGAGATGAAGGGATGAAGAGATGAACTAGAAAACGCAAGAGGTTGCCTGTTGAGCCTTTTTTGTCATGATTGAAAGAGAGAGCGAGCTCTAACATCTGTTGGCGGATTTGGGCCGAGCACATGTCTATTGATGCACCCCTGTGGACCCTGTGGAATAAGGGAAAGTAAAATGAACAAGCTGACCCATTTTCCCCTTTCCTCTTGTCACTCGTTTCCTCTCTCGATCTTATTCATTCGCTCCCCTCTGCTCCAAAGTCGTTTTTTTTTATTATTATTATAATTTTTTTTATATATTTTTCTGCTTGCAGCACACCAGACAGGATAAATGGAAATGCAGAGATCAATATGTTTATTTATATATGGTGTGTGGGTTTGTTTTAATGTATTATTTAGATAATCATTTGCAACTCAGCTGGGTCATTATAGAAGAGAATCTGCCTTTCCTGCTGGATGTAATGTTGTTTTTTTATTAAAAAAGTTTTTCTATCTCATCTGTATGCTGGAGTCAGATGACAGAATAAATGTTAAAAGCACCAAGCAAAATTAAGAGACGCATCTTTTTTTTTTCTCATGACATTCAAATTACTAATCCATGCAGACATGTGTTAAATATCACAAACGTGTGGCACAGTGGTAGACACTGGCAGAAAGAGCAGCATCATTAGTGTAAAGCTAAAGGTAAGACTGAAATGTGGGGCTAATTAAAAGTACTGAGAGCAGTGTGGGTCATCCCCCTACATCAGCTACTGACATCATTAGCCTCTTCAAAGTTTACAGTAACAGAACTCAGATACAATTTCACTTCCCCACTAAGATGCATTAACCTCTTGATTAAAATTGAAATCAAACTTACAGGAGAAACAGTCCATCCATCATGCACATTAGTGGGCATAACGTAATTTTTTATCCCTATTATATTTCTCTGTGAAAAGGCTGCATGAACGTGTAAGCTGTTCACACCGAGATTTTATGATTTTTACAAGATATCAAACATTGTTGAAAATGCAATGCATGATATCTTTATTTATATTTAGTAGTTCATTCTCTCTCATATAAATGTTTTTATCTTATAATGCTAGTATAATATTGCAGAGGGTCTCTAGAGATTCTTCAGTAGTGATAATTTATCAGCACATCTGCTTTGCTGGTGAAGGCCAGTGCAAATGGGGCATGTCTTGGAACATATTTTCACACCTGTCAGTGTATTGCCACTGTGGTGCCAGTTTCATGTAGGGCTGCAGTTGTGGAACATTTCCATTCTAACTTTAAAAAACACATCTCCTAGTCAGGGCTGGTGTTTAGGTCATCTGTGCAAAACGTGAGACCAGGAGTGCGGTGTCGTAGCTGCAGCAAGCTTCAGGAAAAAGCATATGTATGTAAGTGGATGTGTGTGTGTGTGTTGGACAAGCAGAGAGACCGTAAGCCGCTGGGTATTGGTTTGGACTACAGCCGAGCTCACAGGAAATGCCAACAAAGCACCAAGTGACATTCAGACAACATGGACAAAACAAACGCACACACACTCGTGCACACACAGATGCACAGACTTCGGTGAACAAACAGCTATCCAATTTTTGTTCCAGTGTGATCGATCGGGGAAAAATATTAAAAATCAACTTCCAGCAGGAGATGTGTGTGCCACCGACTGGTTCTCTGATGTAGAGTGTAGCAGCAGCACTCTTAGTACCTCATCTAATCGAGTACATCTGATCGATTGCAGACAGAATAACAGAAAATCACATAGGAAAGTGGATTAGATGTGGGGCTGTGAGACCAGGAAGCACCCTCTGACATAAGGATTGACTTCACATAGGTTACATTAACCATTAATAACACTAGTGGGGTGAGTGGCTATAGCTCAAGTGGTAGAGCAGGTCAGCTACTAATCGGAAGATTGGTCTGTGTGAATGAAATGTCTGTGAATGGTAGATAGAAGCATTTACATAGAGCATAGAAATAAATGCTTGTGTGAATGAGGCAAGTTGTGTAAAGTGCTTTGAGTGCCCAGTTAGAGTAGAAAAGCATTATATAAGAACCAGTCAATTACCATTCACCACTAGTGCAAAAAAAGCCATGTGGTGACACATCACCTTTCCTTCCACTGATCAAAAGATTACAGTGAGAAGCCTTTCTTGATTTATCTGAGTTTAACAGGATGTGGACCATCTCTCAAACCAGTGCATGTGAAGACGTGACAGTATCAGAATTAGCATGGATGTTTTATGTATTATGTATATGTTATTATTATGTATTATGGTTGTAAGGAAGTAGGATGAGCTGCATTGTGTTAACTCATATTCAGATTCACATACTGATAAAGTACATTGTGAGGTACAGATAGGCCAACAACTACTTTTGTGTAACGTCTACACAAACCTTTTTACTGCTGTCATTTAAAGCACTTGTTTGCCCCCAAAATGAAGCATTGTATGGTCAGGTGAAACTCCATTAAAGTTTATGTACTATAAAAGAATCAAACTTACGGCAGAAAACCGCAGTTCTATGGCAGCCATCTCCCAAACTATTAAAGGTAATGGAGCTATCAATTTACGGCGCCAAAAGAGCATAAAATGTCCATCAAATTTATAAAGTGTGGGACATTTGCGGTTGCTTAGAAAGGGAGCGCTGATATCTCTAGTAGATTTGGAGACTTCTGTGGCAGTAGGAACAGAGAAGAACACTTTTTGTATTAAAATTTTAACTTTCAAATGTGCATACACACACTAACATGTTAACAAGCCAGTAAGCTTAGCCAGTTAGCTTAGCTGAACAATAAAGACTGAAAATTGTTTTAAAAAGCCATGCTCTATCCAAAATTAAGAGCAATAAAACATTTTTTAAAAATTAAAATCTTTATCCTTTAAGCTCAGGTCCTCTACCAGTGGCCTGCTAGCTTGAGGGTCCTGTATAGTATCTTTGCTGTTCCTTGGACTCCGCTCTTCTGGAGATTTCAGATGTCAGTCCTGGGATCTGCTGGAGCCACTCCCAGCCCTTGGTCATTCTTGAGCTTCTTGTGTTCCTTCTTCCTGATACAGGAAGAAGCTACATCTATCGCTACGGCCATCTTCCTCTATGACTGTTAGCTGTAACTTTTTAAAGCTATCATATCAGGCTTTGCTTGACAAGAAATGAAAAGCATGTTTCCCAAAATTCCTAATGATTGTTCGAAACTATGTTTAAGCCTATTTTATGCATCGCTCCTCATAGCAACTGTGTTATTGTCTGTGCTATGTTACTCATAGTACAAGCGGCCTAAATGTACAAAATGGCTGAATATAAGAAGTCTTAAAGAAACTGAGTGGATCGCCCAGAAACCAAGCATCAAGGCACTCATTGTTCAAGGTTTTCAAATGCAGCATTAAAGGACATTCAGTGCTTGCAAGTAGAGCAGGGCGATATGTCCAAAAATATTTATCACGATATACATTTGAAAATTTGCGATAACAATATAACTGACGATATAATTGACACTAGACAAAATACTTTACAACTCCACAACTTTATTAGTGCAAAAAAAACCCATCAATGTATTTTCACTTAAACAAGCAGCTTTTTTATGTGCATTAAAGTTATATAAAAAATTAACAGTGCAAATGCAAATTCCTTGCTGACAGTTTAACCAAAAGGCATTTCCAGTGGAAATTGGCCGACATATCCTCAGCATAACCATGTATAATATCCACAAAACTTAAAAAGAGGTTATACACACACAATACGGTAATATTATGTTGAAGCACAGTACGTATCACTCCGTACTGAAACATTTGACAGATTTTCGAGCGCCGTGTACGACATAAAATCGTTTCGAGGTCAGTAAACACAACCAGAATTCATACATAAGGCACACGGGATTATAAGGGGCACTGTTGATTTTCAGAAAAATCAAAGGATTGATTTTAAGTGTGCGTAATAACGACGGCCCGCTACCAAAAATAGTGCTTTGTTGTGCATCTGACAGATGAAAGCCAAACCAGTTCCACACCACTGAAGTTCCAGAATTTTTACAAACCAATTCTGGTTCATCCGTTTCATTCAATGACCCACTTTCACTCTTCTTATTCTGCGTCGCTGCCATGTGCGTATGTAAACAAAGGCACTGCGCATGTTTTACCCATATCTATCGCGATATTTCATTTTCTTATCAGCCCAACATTACACTGGTATTACTTGCACTTGCAAGTGCGTAAAAGCTTCAGTGAAGTGTATAGCCTTCTGTCAGTAACTGAGGTCGGTGTGTTATAAATGACAGCTGGAGGTGTTCTCATCATTGTCAGTTCTATCACTTATAGAAATGACAATTGCAAGAACTGAGAGACTTTTTCACTGAGGAACAAACTTGTTGTTTCATGAGAAGTTCGTAATCTTATCTGTAGTAGCACTGACGTGACCAAACCAACAATACAGCAATGTAAGGGCCAGAAAATTACCCAGACACTGAGGTAGGCAGAGTGGCACAGCTCACATTTTGTTTATTCAACTCAGATAGTGCTGTTTTTGTACCTAGTGAGTCATGGAATTTCCAGCCTCTTAGACAACCTCTTATCGCAGATGCACAGAAAAAATTTTCCCAGACATCATCTCTCACACAAGAACACTTTTCTTTTTGGAGAAGCCACCCTAGACTGCCCATTATTTAAGTGTTCCCTGACATCCCCTGCTGATAATGTGTTCCTCTTGTTTGTGCTTGTGTCTGGCCACCAAACAGCTCAGCCACATGCATACACTCTTTAACTACGAGACTGCAGCTGGATTCGTGCTCAGTTAAACAAACGCACTCAGCCATTACCTCGATCAGTGATATAGTATTAACCTCTGTATGGGTGTTGTGTGTGTATTTGTTGTGTAGGAGTTTGCCACCCTCACAAAGGAGCTGAACATATGCCGCGAGCAGCTGCTGGAGAAAGAGGAGGAAATATCTGAGCTGAAAGCAGAAAGGAACAACACCAGGGTATGTGTGTCTATGTGTGTGCGCGTGTGTGTCTTTGAGGGCGTGCGTGTGTTTGACGCTGATGAAAACAAACAATGTTTCTAGAATTAGTATTCTCTTTGGTCATGCATACATTGGTGTGTGTGTGTTCGTGCTGTAGCTGCTGTTGGAGCACCTGGAGTGTCTGGTGTCTCGTCACGAACGTAGTCTGAGAATGACAGTGGTAAAAAGACAGGCACCCCCACCATCTGGAGTCTCCAGCGAGGTGGAGGTCCTCAAAGCTCTGAAGTCGCTCTTTGAACACCACAAGGCTCTGGATGAAAAGGTGGACTCTCTCGCTCGTTCTCACACACACACACACATATTGCATGACAGAGGTTAGTTCTGACAAGTAAATGACAAATCTAGAAACTTGAGGACACAATATCTTAACAGTTTCTTGCTTCAAATGTGTCTTTTAACAGAATTTTTGCCTTTTTTTCACTGTTTCTTAGTTATTGACGAACCTCTGTTTAGGATAAAAACAGACAGTGGCTGAAGTCATGAGACTTTATTAAGAGAAAACAGCATTGGCAACAGAATTGTACAACAAATGGATGCAGATGAAAAAAATAATCTGACTCTATATTAATCTCCTAAAACCTGAACTTTTCCACAGCATGCCTGTTTAATTTCTCTTTGATATTTGGGCTGATTGGGACCCGATGAATGTAAAAACAAAGAATCACCGGTTTGTTTGTTTTTTACACAATTTTTGTTTCTAAGAAAAATGAGAGCCACATATGAAGACATTCGTTTTAAATTTTGATAAAACAGAGGCAGTATAATGTCCTTGTAAGTGGATATCTGTCACGGTCTGGGGGCCAGACCGTGGGGGGTGTTGGAGAGAGGGCCCAAACGCAGGACTTAGAGGAATGAACAGTGGGTTTATTTACAGTGAGGTAAATGTACACCACACAATAATTCTCCAAAGTGCTCCCTCGACTCCCGTGACGTGTCTTCTCCCAAGTGCTGGTATCCCGTGCTCTCTGCC